TAATGAGCAACTAACTTTACTGAGGGTCAGCGGCCAGTACATATACAGATGTGACAAAGTGCAGAAAAGCCCCTTATACAATGGGGATATACACAATGAATTATACACATCTAACAAAGCGCTTCGTCAAAATACACGTTGATGCTGCTGTAGGTAGGAATGGAGATAGGGGTGCTTTTGCAGCTATGTGTAGAGATGACACGGGTGAATACCTGGGAGCCTCGGCCATCAGAATTCCAGACATGACTGAACCTGGAATTCTGAAATCAATGGCGTGCAGCAAGGGGCTGTCTTTAGCTGCAGATTTTGGGTGCCAAAGTTTCATCAACGGACTGTGCTGCGACAATTATCCATGTTAAAGGATCCTACAGGGGCCGATTAGGAGTGATTATTGATGAAATCAAAAGGAAGATTCAAAGCTTTACGTCAGTGCAAATCATACATGAGAACAGGGCACTGAATTTTGAGGCACACAGTCTGTATAAGGCTGCTTTGTCTTTAGATGTTTGTAGGCACTTATGGCTCTCTAGTAGGCCAGATGTTATTTGTATGCCGTCGAACATTATGTCTGAATAAAGTGCTTTCCAATCCTCAAAAAAAAAGAAGCTAACTAGTAGAGTGGCCAGATTATTCTTGTGCACAACTCAAAAGAAAAGGTATTCTTGTGTGGATGGAAGCGATTTGATTCGGTTGAAATTGAAGTGGGTTTGTGAACAAAAAATGTAAATAGTTGCCGAAATGCTGCGATCTTGGCACTAGCATACAAAAATTAGGCAAGAATGGCCAGTTCAGCAACTGCACATTAACAAATATGTTGCTTCTTTGTTTTCATTTTACCTAATGATCATTTTTGAGAAAATTGGCATGAGGATGAAATCAGTTAGGACCCAGCAGCATAGAGACTGCAGCTACTCCCTTCGTCCGGGTTTATTAGGCCCGTGAGGAAAGGAGAGGCGTCCCTTCCTGTTAGGCCCTTTGGTCCGACTACCAAGGAAAATTAATTGGAAAAAATGCATGCATGCGAGTTTAACGCATGGGGCAGCATTATCAAGTTATCAAGGTGATAATTAATTCGCTGACGCTGCATGCATGGAGATTTCGCTTGGCATCCACTAGTCTCGCGGGAAATAAATTCGCATGCATAGGCTCCAGAGGGAAAGTCGTGCATGCTATTGGTGGAGAGCATGCAGGATTGTGGCGGTATAAATTATCTGCAGTAAATGACATGCCATACGAAGCATCATGTAATTACTCGAGGGACAATGCCTCAATTAACATGCGCGAATAAGAGACTGCCTTGGTCTTGCCGATCCTGTCTACGGGCCTAATAAACCCAGAGGAAGGGAGTACAAGATTACAACCCCATAGTAGCGAGTGGACGCCTGAATAATTTGCCGGCCATATCAACGTTGATATCAATCAGGTTCAGTAACCGCACGGGCTCACACAATACAGCACAAAAACAAAGCACGCGACTGTTGAACTACACTGAAACTTAATAATGTAACTCACATGCCAACAGCCTCACACATTCTGCAGCTCTGAACACACCTGCTAGTCAATGAGTCACCAAGAACAGCGAGATCATCTTGTTCTTCAGATTATAATGGAGTAGAACGCTATGCCGACATCATGAGACACACGCGGCAAGAATTTAGATCAGAGAACTTATGGGACAGAATAACCTTATTTCATTGCTTTCATTAAATCGAAGAAGGTCGGGCCAAATGAATTTCACAGTTTCAGTGATGATTGACAGGGTACATGAATGGAAGGAAGGGTGGCTTATTCTGCTGGCGGATCGACAAGAAATTTCTAACGCTGACCTTCTCGTGGTCACCGATTAATGGCTACTGCTACATGTACACAATTTGAATGGATATTTACACGGCAATATTGAATCGGAGGAGAAAAGAATGGTGTGGGCCGGAGAAAACAATGGCTTTGGCTGCAATCACAACCTTTTTCTAATCATTGTTCTGTAAATTTTCCATGTCCACACAAAAAGGAACAGCGTGAGAAGCGTGGCCACCGTCGTCCAGAATATGATCAGCCATGACGGCATCGACTTCGGGAAGAGACCTGTTTCAGAAGCCAGCGACATGGTCAACATGACAGAAGAAGGCGCATGCTATCCGCAAGCACCAAGAAAGAAACTGGACTAGTAGCACTCAGGCGCATGCTATCCGCAAGCACCAAGAAAGAAACTGGACTAGTAGCACTCACCATGTCCAAACTTGATGCAGATCAGAAGCTCTATGATGCATATAGCCAGCGAAAGCCAGCAGAAAGACCCCACCTTCTTCACAGAGTTCCTGAAATCATTTATCACATATACAAGACAATTACTTTCAGCAAGATTGCCTCCATGTTTATGTGAATACGTAAGATAAGCTATGAAGTTTGAAGCTAGTGGGTCAAACTTTGTACCTGTCCTGCAAATAGGTGTTGTATTCGCGGATGGTTGGTATCGCAATCAACCACCAAAGGACCAGTCGGTAGACAATCAAGGGATTCCGGGGAGGAATCCAGAGGCAGAACTTAAGAAAGAATGTGTTAAGTTCGATGGTCATGAAAATTACGCACAGGCTTAGCACTTGGATGAATCTCCAAGGGCCAAGCAGAGGGTACCACTCATCCTTGTCCCACTGTGCTGGTGTGAACTGACCTAGTGTCCTTTTCACCTAAACAGAGGCAAAAGGTTGAACAAATGAACTCATGAGCAAGGCTAACGACATCAAGTCTAAAACAGATAACTGATATGGCTCAAGAACATACAACTTCAAATAGAAAATTCGGATAGGTAAGCATAGCAAACCACAATCTAAACCTACACAGGCTGTTTGTATCTATATATATATATATGCAAATGAAAACATTCAAAAAAGGATTTGCAGGACATGAAGAAAGAGGTTTAAAAGGTTAATCGTTATAAGCTTTAGTTTGGGCTAGTAACCCACTAACATATCAGTTCTGTCAATGGCAGGTATGAATATGTGCAAGTATTACTGAGCTGACAGCAAAATGCGTGTCCCTTAAACTGGAAGTATACATCTTAACTAGAGTTTATGCATAAAACTGACACTAACAGATGTTGCATAGGTCAGTGGAAAAACAGTTACAGAGTATTTCGTGTGGTTGCAGATAATTCATTATAAACTATACGAGATGTGAACTCTTGCAATGAAAAGTTTGACCTTGTACATAAACTAGTCCAGACAAGCTAAGGAATTATTTTAATTGACAGACTATTGAAGGAATTGCTCTGGTTTCTCAGTAATTTTTGCCTTCGCTAGATTTCATCGTACTATAATGACATTGAGTAGGATAAAAGATCAGCTGCAGCTGGGCATAATATTGAATAAAAACTCAATGCGACTGATTGCTTTGCTGGCCAACTCATTTTCCTATACACAGATTAGTAATAGCATACCTTACTCATAATATTGGGCTGGCGACTCAAGCCAACCCATTCATATGTCCTCCCATCAAAATATCTCACAGTCTTCATACCAGCCCAGATACCTGGATCACAGACAAGATGCCCGCATTCAAGAAGAGGTAAAATATAGGAGGTAAATTTAATTATCTAAACAGCTAAATCTATTGAAGAAAACAAACAAAACATGCATGCCGACATGTACCAAATGTAGGTATTAAGTTCAAAATTCATATAAAGGTATTGTGTATATAGATAAAATAATGAAAACCACATAAAAATCTTACCAAACCAATTGCATATCAATATGTCTAGAACAATGCTATCCCACCAGCATTCATTAAAATTTGGCAACATATGTCGAAAAGTTAGCTGCAGTTCACACAACATTACATAAGGGATCTTGTTTCAAGATAAAACTGAACACATATGTAAAAGGTACATACCTCCATTAACTCAAAACCAATTGATAACACCCATAGAAGTGGTTGGTTTCGTATCATTATAGCCTTTCCCCACCATCCAAGGATATGGGCAATAACAAATTCGTCAAAAAGGATGTCCTAGAAAAACCTATATTCAGATCAGTAACTTGAAGCATCTCCAAGATCATGATCAATCGGAGAAATACAACAGACCAAAATTGAACAAGGAAAGGTAGCAGGTTTGTGAATGAAGTCATCATACATAAACATTGTTAAACCTGCTTTTCGGATGATCAGGTACATATATACGGCAGTCGGTTCCATAGGATCTTTCAGGTAATTCTGTCAGACAATGGTGTGAAATAAGGATTCCTTCAACAAGATAAAGCTCCACTATTAGATCAGATATGGAATAGCATCTGTCTTACCAACACCAAGGTCAGGGTGAAGGTACTTCATGAACTGCCTGGCATCATCACGAGTCTGCAAAATGAAATAGAAGAAATTATGATTACTTTCTGCTGTTTAATATTGCCTCTGCTGCTAAACTATAATTTCTTGACATCGTTGCATCTTATTACGATGACCTCTTTCACCAATAAAACTCAAAAGTACATATATGGAAAAGATCATACCAAAGCAATGATACAACTGTTTAAATACAGATAAAGTGCTATATTACACAATTAATAAATTTAGAAAATAACTTTTCACCTCAGATGCGCTTACATAATTCACTGCTTTTTCATAAAATAAGTAAGGGAGCTAACAGCTTTCTGTTTGCATTTTGGCTACACAGAGACAATAGGTGAACATTGCACTTTCTTATTGCTGCCTGGGGAGTTTTCTGTTGCATAAATAAGCTACCAGAATGATTAGAAAAGGGATACCCTGGCCCTTTTCTCTATTGCGTCTTACTCTCTTTATCATCCTATTTCCAAATTAATATGTATTCGCCGCAAATTGTAATATTACACTTGGCATTGGCGCTATTGTTATCAATACACTCTGCCAGATATTCCAATTTCCAAGCAATGTCACCGGGTTTTCTTAATCAGTGCAATGGCATATCTTTATTTTGTGTGAAGCCTGAGCCGAAGTACTAGTAAAACGCAATTCCCCGTGCTAAGTACAAAAAAAAAAAACTGAGAGACTTTTCCATCATTAATTAGCAATGCTTTTGACAGGTTCATGAATCCGAAGAATCGAGTGGCATAAGCATTTTTTTTCAAACAAGATTTACAAAACTGTACTTACCTGGAAAAGCAAAAATGTGAGGGCCACAAGGTAAACAACTGCCATCCCATGGACCAGGCGCCAAATTGCAGGATGTGGTCTGATGAGCACACTGAATCATAATGGAAGTAGCTGTCAGTAAATGTTTGTACAAACCCCAGCGACTTCTGGAACAATAATCAATGTCTTTTATTTTTTACAGGGCGCAGAAATGAAGTAAGGCTTTGCTGTCCTGGTTAGTGCTACTACAAAACTTTTTTTTTTGAATGGTCGATACTAGAGATCATACTTCGCAAGCTCGAAGATATTGAGAAGTTCAGATCAAATATAAAGCACACATAAATACATTTCCCTTCTGCTCCATAGCAGTGAACAATATACTTATTCATATCTACATGCCCAATCGTACGAAATAAGAGTTAAAAAATAAGGTATATAGTTTCTGCAACTCACGTTGAAGGTGCCTGAAGAAAAGAATAAGCCAAGAAAACAGCAATCATCGCAAAGACGCCCCTGTTGACAAGATGAAAAAATATATATATGAGCACTCAGATTTGCCCAACTCAAATGGGAATTAGCAGATAAAAGGCCAGAAAAATAACGGTGAATGTCTATTATCCCAGTTGAAGATATGTTCTATCACAGATGTTCTGTTGGTGATTAAGAAACAATCATTTTTCCGGCATAACATGAATAAAAATACCTTTTTACAGATGAGACACGGTCAGCAGAGAAGCTTCCTTCTGGATTAAGAGCACCACTTGCCCAACTGATATAAAGAATTATAAAACAGATGCTCATTAAACATACAACAGTTTCACAATTCTTTAACTCTTTTTTTTTTTGCAGTGATCTTAAAACAATGGTAAAATGCCATAGTAGGTCAACCATCAGCAATGTATTACTGACATCATTGTGGTAAGAATCTCTCTAGGAAACTAAAAATAAATAATTCCACAGGTAAAAGAGATCCAGCAGCAGCTCACATTAAAAAGCAGGTTCCCATGAGTAACAACGAGATGGTCCGTGGCCTGTACGCCCACGCGGTCCAGGGATCAACTTCGCCGAAATTATTGGGCGGTTTTACACCATTGCACCCTCTGTCGATATACTCTCTTGTAGGCTTGTGACGACCGTTGACCTCCATGGTACAACAACCTTGACAAAAATCACCACCTGCAAAGTGTCCATGGCAGCATACAAGATCGATCAATACATGGTCTTACTGACCTTCAAGAACAGCAAACAGAGTGATGCCACTCTTCCTACGAATGAGTAGCAACTGAATAATGTGCCAGCAGCTAGTATCTGGCATCAAGAAATGATTGAGCAGAGCGCATACGGAAATAAACACTTGAAACGAGAAGAGAAAAACTAAATTCAGCATGAACAGCCAGCAGCAATGCTGAGGCCTTTGTGTGGCTCTGGTTGTTCCAGGATAACAGAAAGGGGGCGGTCTGCCCTCTGCTGCCTGCGACCAGAGGGCGGCCTCAATACCAAAACAGGGGAGGGGAGGGGGAAGAGAGGAGCGTTGGAACTTGAGAGGGACGCGATTGGCTGAGCGAGGAAACAAATTCAGAAGAAAGAAAGATACAGAGCGCTACGACCTGCCTCTACGATTCGCTAGGTAGCTAGCTACAGTGGCGCCGTACGGCCTCCTCCAAATTAAGAAACCGCAAAAGCTAAAAGGCAGCAGCTTTTCGCAATGCCGTCCGTCCCAGAGAGAGAGATCTAGACGGCGTGCCGGGTGGTGGCGCCCAGGAGCTGTGGAGGCCAGCAATCACATACCTCGAGGGGGGCTCAATGGCCGAGCACCGCGGACGGGGCAGAGAGGCGGCGGCGGGAGCGCGGTGCCCCGGGGAGGAACGACGGCCACGGCGGCGGCGGCGGCGGCACGCGCGCGAGAGAGAGAGGCGGGAGGGGGGCTGATGGATGCGCCGGCGGCAGAGTGGTGGGGGGATTTAGGGCGCGTTGGGGGGAGATTGATCCTGGTTCTTGGAGTATAAATAGGTGATTAGTGGTATCAGGGGGGAGAGGAGAGGAGAGCGGCGCTGGCAAACTTCGACGACTGGAGATGCTTCGAGGTGAAGGGGGGTTCTGGCTTTGTTTTGGACCCAGGGACGAGACGACCCTCTCGCTATCGGCCGTGTGGGCTGTCAAGGCCCCCCGTGTGGCAATGCCAATGCCCTAATGAGATATCTTTTGACAAAAAATGTAGTATATGGTAATAATAACCGTAATAAACAAACGTTCGCTGGGAGGGGTGGCAACTTTAGTTGTGAAGAGGATGGCAATTTTGGTTTGCAAGCACGGTGATTTTCTGGCGAAGAACAGAACTACAGAGGAGTTGCCACGCTCGTTAACTAGAATTGCCATGCTCGGTCAACGCAAATTGCCATCAAAATCGTTCACGGATGTCATCTCTCCCAGCAAACGTCCGCTGTTTGTTGAGGTCGGAAATGTGTGCTTTGATCCACATGTAGCTCGTCAAGGGGCCCTTTTCAGAAAAGGAAAGAACACATATATTCAAACCCTAATCCGATCTTCTTTCCGGAAAAAAAAACCCTAATCCAATCGAATCCTCTCTTTCCACCCGTCTTTGGACGGCGAGGGGTGCTTCAGTGGCTGAATTTATCAATGTTGTCTCTCACCGGTGAGAGTGGCACAACAGTAAAGAGTTCTGTTACTGCTTTGGCAAGAATCTTGAAGCCTAAGGTATTTGTCATAATTTCTCCCTTGATAGGGTCTTTTATGTGATTACGGGCTTAGTTGACACGGTTATTTGGTTGTATATGATATTATTATTATTATTATTTAATAATATAAGACATGTATTTACAAAATAAAACATGTGTCTCCTTTTTTTTGAGACACAAAAATGTGTTTCCTGGTCTCATTGTGGAAATGGGCATGGCCGGGTTCGAAACACATGTAAGAAAAGGAGGCTAAAAATCCTTTAATATTTTTGCCCTCTTCTGCAACTATGAAAAAATTAAAATCTCTTTGTGCACAAGTTGAGTTCTAGTATGTACACAGGTTAAGTTTTTTATGTGACCACACTTTGTTCTTTACCACTTTATTTATACTTATTGTTTAAAAATTTGAAACAAATACTCCACTATTAGTAGACTTGGTAGATTGGAAGAAACAAAGTTGCAATTTTACTTAATTTAATATGTTTTAAAAACCTACTGTTAAAAATAAATAAAATTAGTGCATGATACAAAATAAAACAAATTGCAAAAATATTCATTTTAAATAATTTGATAAACTACATCCTAGATCAAGAATGTGATATTATTTGGCTTGGTGAATATGTAAATTGAATTTATAGTCATGTACACACGAAAACATAAGTCATGACTCAAATGCACCAAAAATTCCACAATATCAAATCAGGATCTGTTGGTGCTCTACAAACAATCGTGTCTCTTTTGTATGTCAAAAGGAACAAAATTTTGTTTCTAGTTAATGTCATCTGTTTGAAGTATCTTCTATTAGGACTAGATAAAATTAGTAGACGTAAAAAGCTACTTACAAAAATCTCTAATTTAAACTACTTAGATGAAACTTACATTCTGAACTAATAATGTGAAATTGTTTGGCTTGGTGAAATAAAAATGTACACTAAATGTATAGTCATGTGCACATGTAAACATAAGTCAAGAATCGCAGATGAACCAAAAATGCCACAATATCAAATCAGGATCTGTTGGTGCTCTACAAACATGTATTCAAATGTCTCTTCAATGCATATCAAGACATATTAATGAATGCATAAATAGTGTGTCTTTGTTGTGAGCCTAGAAAATAAAGACAATAATTGGGCATTCTGTGGAGCAATGTAGCTAAAAAAACAAAGAAAATCACTCTTTGTTGGTTCATTTTGTCCACACCTATAGGGAATAGTCCTCCGAAAAGGCACAATTGCTTGTCGACAAGTCACACGCTAGCGAAATGAGGTTACAACTATCTAGTAAGAGTTTGACCGTGTAAATAACTTCTGTATTTGATCTTCTCCGACGTCTTTCTGGTTGTCCTGTGATGATTAGAAGCATCGAATCAACAGGGACCGTTCCCTCTGGTTACATGACACACTCTAGGGCATTCTAACTCATCGAGTTGCTTTACACACGAGCTCCGGCGATGGGTCATCGTATTCTAGGAAATTGGATAGGTGTAGCTCGGTGCCTACAACCATGGTGGGAGGGATATCCTCTATCAATATGGTTCTCTGCGGGCTTAAATATGTGCCCCCTTTGTATTCTACTGACGTGTCTCGTATTTGACAACAAGGGGCCATCAAACACATTTGGATCTATCATACCAGATTTTGGTTTATTAGATTGCTTCACAGAGAAAACGTGTGATTGTTTCCTAGATGTTGGAGCAAATTAAAATTTTCATATGAAATCCGGTGCAAATAATTCCTGAGGGAAAAATCAGATGGTTTGCAAAGGGCAATTTTTAAGGGTTTTTTTTTACAGAAGGCATTTCGGTGGACAGGACTTCTATTCAACTGTTTCAAACAGTATTTGCACAACAAAGCCACTCGACATGTTTAAAAAATGTGTTTGCATTATTTTCTGCCCTATAACGAGACTATATTGTGACCATCATAATTTAACAAAAAAAAACATGCTCCATGAAAGTACATTGTAAAATATACGGATGTGGCAGGGGTGACTGGTGAGTGGCAAACCATAGATGGTTGGAGTAATTAAACTTCATACGTATGGTCCCTCTAGAATAATTATTGGGTCACATGGCACGACCTAGTACATACAGCTGGATGTGTCGACTTACATTGTGTTCTTTCCTGAAGTTCTTGCAGACACTATCTTTTTTCGGTAATTAGCTACATACTCTTTCGGGCTTTAGGGTTAGTATCTTCTTGATTTATGCGTGTACGATCTTAAAACCACGATGTCTATCTACAAAAGGACCGAGGCAACATGCCAATGCTTTTTCGAATAGACAGAGCTTCTGCCGGTTGCTTGAAAAAGAAAAGAAAACAGATTGAACTCTGAGCTCGTCGACGGATCATTTCGAAAAATTGGCCCTCGGTCAATTTTATAAAGTAAAAAATCAAGGTCCTTCTGCATGCAGAAAATTCATGGCACCAATGATTGGACATGAGTGGCTCCAAGCCTTTAAAATCGGAGGGTCAAGCAATGGACCAGACGAGGGACTGAAGCGAGAAGCATATATTGCGTTGTCAGTGAGTCACTCACTCACTCACAGAGGGGTGGGCCAGCGCCACTGACCACCGAGCCCTCCTCCTTCATGCATGGTACGTACACTGGTACGTACGTACGTAGTAGTGGTACTGCCGTACTTTGTACTGCCAGTTAATGAGCGTGTACCCTACCAAACCAACGACAAGATATAAACAAACAAAGCAAAATGAGCGAGTAACAAACGCTTCTGCTGCCTTCTCCTAAATAAATGTGATGATGTACTGTCACCAAATATGCTCCCGTTTCTCCTTTGATAATAATGACTCACACCCTGTAGTACGTCTAGTCCAGCACTCGGAGAATATTCCTCCTCCTCCTCAATTATTTATCATCAATTGTTTGGTACAGGTCGAGTTTTCGGTGCCAACAGAAACTATTTCCTGCAGCAGAAATAATAATTTATGTCTGCATTTTTACATGAACCAATATTCTCTTGAAGGAAGAGTTTGATGATGAGCACATTCGTTCTAATCTCTTACGTATCTGGCCTTGGATGTGTGCGTGTGTTGGGGTGCCGTGTGTTTGTATCGGGTTGTCGATGATCGTTGCTTTCTATATAAAGCGAAGCTAAAGCCTTTTTCTATGATATTGTGTTGGTGCAGAGACATAGAGTAATTGGTATCGTCTTAATATTAAGGTATTTTCTTTATTGATTCTTTTATCTACTCCCTCCGTTTCTAAATATAAGTCGTTTTTAGAAATTTCGATATGGACTACATACGGATGTATGTAGATATATTTTAGAGTATAGATTCACTCATTTTGTTCAGTATATAGTCCATATTTTTTTAAGATCAGTATATAGTCCATATTGAAATAGTAAGATCAACTCAAGTTAAGTTCACAAGGTTCTAGTATAAAAGGAGAACTTAAGTACACGAAAACAAACAACGGTTGGAGTATGATA